CCGTCAACACTTAGAAGTATTCCAGAAACAAGGTATTTCTATATGTTAGACACATACAACACATTATATATGAAATGCCCCGAATTTCGGGTTAGTAGTTTTGGTCAACCTGAGACTCGTCAATAGAGCCCATTAAATTTTCCAAGCCAATTTTAGACCAATTCTTAAGAGTATTGGGCTTAGGTTGACCCAATAGTTATAGGAAAGTGTTGTTTTTAAAAGTAAGTAAATAGGATACTGACCTAAATTATAGTTTACCCTTTTGTTAAAGCTAAAACCTTTCCCCCTCGTTTTATATCATTTCATGTAACCAAACTCCCTTTAATATTTCACCCACTCTTCTTTTTCTTTCTTTCATTAGTTTTTATTTCTTCTTCCTTTCAAAAGCCAAGTTCAAGTATTCAAATCTTAGATTGGTTTAGCCAAGGTAAGAATGTTTCACTCCATCCTTCAAGTTTCGTTTTAAGCTCTATTTTGTAAGTTTTAGAATTTGTTTTCAAAAATGAGTTTTATGGAAGTTAAGGGGATCCATAAATCCAAGCTTGGTTATAGTGTATTCATTACCTAAAACATCTTAAGTTTTAATTCAAGAGCTTAGTTAGTTTAGTAAACCCTTTTCTTGTCTTTGTTTAGTAAAGGATGTGAGAGAAAACTCTAAAGAAAGAAAGAAAGAGAAGTTTCCCCTTGGTTAACTTGATAAAGTTTCTAGCAAGAAATAAGCAAGGTAACACACTATCAAATCTTCCATACTCCTAGTGATCATTAGAATTAAGTTCTAGCTTGAGAGCAAGTTATGAAGCTTAGAGTTATATGTTAGTGGTAGATTATATGATTTTATGTTATAAAAATGATATAAAAACTTATTTATGCTCCTTGTAATCATATAAGACTTTAAAGAATGTTTGGGGAATTGAAATATAGTACTTTCGTATGTGTTTTATGACTTCTACAGGTAGAGTATCGATATTATATGGATAGTATCAATATTTGTTCTTTATTTTGGGCAAATTCGTGAGTTTCTAGGCAATAATATCGATACTCTTTCAAGAGTATCAAAACTTTGGGTCATAGTTTTGAAACTCCAATAAAGTTTCAAAACTGGGTAGAATAGAATGTTTAAAAGTATCGGTACTTATATAAAGTATCAAAATTTTTGCAGGAGTATCGATACTCTTGGGCTAGTATCGATACTTTTAGTCAATTTTGGGCAAAAGAGTCAGTTTTTAAGGGATTTAGAATCAACGTACCTCAACACCAATATTTCCCCACATAAGACTTCAATTGAGAATATTAATGATGTTAAATTTCAAACGTATAAATGAGAACAAAGTATGGTGAAATAAGACTATCCTTGTGTTAATGCTCGGGAAAACGACCAAGACACTTGAGTTCCTTTAAAAAAAGATAGTAAAATCGAAAGTATAGATTCATTCCATATACCCTTAGGGGAGTGTGCAAGGCACTTTAAGTTGACTAGTTTGGGAGCAAGGTCTGATACTCAACGAGTGGGCTAGTCGAGAGTGTATAGGGATTCTAGAGGCCACATTCACGGTAGACTAGAGGGGCTCCAAGATGCATAACCCTCAGTCGCACCATGATGTCTACCATAAAGTAGAGATTGAGTATACGAGTATACTCATTAAAGAAAAGTAGAATAGAACATTTCAGTAGACCAAATAATAATAGACCAGATAAAAGTAGACCAGATAATAGTAGATCAGGTAGCAGCAGACTTGATAGAATGAGCATTTTAGTGATAAACTTTTAGTTTGTTTTAGTTGTTAGTGTGGCGTTGAGCTAGTTTTCTCAGCCTTGGGATTGCTTTTCATGGGTAGGTCACTAGATAGATAGTTCAAGAAGCAGTAGATATATCAAGGTCCAGACTCGGTGCATATTCAGAGCACGTCTCAGCAGTTTTTGAAGGGCATGTATATTTTATAAACCCTGTTGTATCAGTTTAGTTGTAAATTTTATTAAGATTCGATATGTAATATTTTGATTGTAAATATTTGTTTTGAGAGCTCCCCGGTATAAAGTTTTAAATTATATTTACTTTATAGATGTGTTTATTGGTGGAAATGGTCGTTTTATAGTACAAGAAAAGAGTAAGGTGTTGGTCAGCCAATCTGGTGGTTCCATGTGGCATCCTATATCGATCGACTATGTGTCGTATTGGTCTAGGGTGTTACAATGTATCTTGAGTTCTTTTCTAGAAGTCATCTCCAATACTACAATACTATTCCCCTTGATTTTGAAAGTCACGACATTGCCCATGTAGAGCTTCTCCCCATTGTTGTAAGGTATTAATTCAAAAAAGAGTCATTGCCGTAAAAAATATGATGTATGGCTTTAGTATCAAGCCTCCATTCTCCTAGATTAGAGTCAACTATGTTGACTTTAAAGATCACAACACATAGATATATATCATCCACATCCTTAATCATTCTTTTCACAGTATTAACCTCGTGAGCTTTGTTTGGCTTTCTTTAGATGCCTGCAATCATATGATTTGTGTCACATCTTTCCACAGTTAAAGCACTTCCCTTAGAATTTCTCCTTCTTGGAAATTTCACCTTTATATCCTCACTTTGACATATTTTTAGGTTGTTTTCCCTTCTTGAAGTCTTTGACTTCTATCATGTTTTCCTTAGCCTCTTTGAAGGTTTCTTTGAGCTTTTTGAAATTAATTTTATTGTCTTATTCTATTTGAAGTATGACAACCAGTTCTTCCATGATCATTTCATTCCTTTCGTGCTACAGATGACTATTAAAGTCACTCCATCCGTGAGGTAATTTTTCAATAATAGCAGCCACCTGAATTGATTCACCTATGACCAATCTTTCTGCAAAAATCCTATTAATAAGTAGTTGGAGTTCTTCCACTTATTTTACTACTAGTTTAGAGTCAACCAGATTAAAATTCAAGAACTTGGCAACTATATTTTTTTAGCTTCAGCTTTGTATTTGTGGTCCAATGCCTCCCATAATTTTTTTTGTTTCATAAACAACATATACCAGATACAGAGAATCTTGTAGATTATTCAGTATTATACTCCAACATATATAATCACTCTACTTCCAAGTATAAACAATATTATAAGCGGTAATATTTGGATTCTAAATCGGTACCACCATTTCAGCATCCAAGTTGCATAAACCAGTGAAGTTTCTTGTCTCCATTTTTTCTATAAAAGAATGAGAGCTGGAATTAGAAATAATTCCAATAAACAGAAAATTAATTCTTGTTTATTTTAGATTTTTTATCGTATAGAATCAATGTTCTTAAATAAAATCAGTAACCAAAGTTACTTTCAAGACAATTTATGTTACACAAATTTGTTCGATTTGAGATTTTAGCAAACCCGTTAAGATGACAGAATAAATCTCGAAACAAATTTGTTTGTTATCTCAGTCTTCTCACAATTTCTGAATCATCTCGGATTAAGGAATGTAGAAGAATGATATAGTCTATCTTAAAATTGTTATCCAAAATAACAATCCGAGACAATATCGAACCAGAGAAAATAAAATAGAATAAATTAAATTTCTTTAAAAAATATAGCAAATAAATAAAAAGAAAAATATTCTTTTTATTTTGATCTTGTGATCGGAAACATATAAGGTCTGTTGCTACACAATTTCCTCAAAACAGATTTTCGGCCACTCCTATGGTCCTTGAGATCTTTGGTCATCTATCTCCCAAGATATAACAATTCAATGATCAACGAATAGTAGCACAAACTTTCGAGGTCACGAACTATTTCTTGCCTTTGTCTATCACTGGAAAACTGGAGAATGAGAGAAAATATTTTTTTAAGAAAAATACAAGTTCCTAAATTATGAAATATAAAAACCTAGTAGGTCTTGGTATTTATAGGGGATTTTCAAGAGACTTTTACTCCAACCATATATATTTTAATATATAAATTTAAATAAATAATAATATCTTTTAATTTCAAATATTCAAAATATATAAACTTTTTTTAATATTCAAACTTAAATAGATATTATTTTAATTTAAAATATTTAAAAAGGATATAATTATCTTTTAATATTCAAAGTTAAATAGATAATAAATAATTTTTTAATTTGATATATTCAAAAGAATAATTATCCTACTAATGTTCAAATTAAATAATATCTTTTAACTAATAATACTAAAAAATAATATGAATTTAATATAAATATTAAATCTATCAATGCAATTTATTTATTTTCTAACATATCTTGAGATTTTCATTCTCAAATATTCCTTATAAAAAATTTCCAATCATAAAAAAATTATAAACAAAATTTTAAAATTGTATACAAACGAAGAACGAAATGACAATAATACGTCCAAACGAGAAAAAATCATTTATTTTTTTATAACTACTAAATCAATATTAATAGTAAACTTAAATAAAAATTAATCGATAAACTGATCATTTTAAACAAAAAATAATAAATAAATTTAATATTTTAAAATTAAAATATAAAAATATAATTTTAACGTATTAGAACCAAATAAATAGTAATTATTATTTTCCAAGGAATCATTTTCAGGATTACAGAATTTCCTTTTCCTTATTTGCAGCATGCTATTTTTCCACATCCTCTCTGTTTTCACTGTCCCCTAAACTTTATTGAAGACTTGCAAAGCATCATATCTTATACACTTCTGAAGCAGTAATGAATAAACAAAGAGCTACTCCATTATATATATATATATATATATTCCATTTATGTTTTAATCATCTAATAAGTCACAAAAGCAAAGGGTAAAATTATCCCAAAAAAAAAACAAAGGGTAAGGAATTAAAAGCATCCATGATCATGTCACAACTTCTCTTTCTACTTTTTCATTTTCTTTGAAATTTTTAATATATGTGATGAACTGTCAAAAGAGAGTAGCTTTAACTTCTTCACCTTGATTATATAATTGCAGATTATATAAAAGGGTGAAGTTACAGATACAGATTCATATTTATTTAATACTTGCCTGTCTTCCTTAAGGACAAGCCAAAAGAGTAACCACCCATCTCTCAAAACCATTACATCTTTCCTTCTCGAAACCAGGAGCCTTTATTTCTTCTGCAGATTTCAATATATAAAATGAGAGACATTGTTTCATGTTTCAGTGAAAACGCAGTAAATGTTTCACATTCTTCATGTTCTAGCTATTCAAGCAACGCTTGCCTCTCTCCGGGCCTAGTGCCATCGGTCCAGAACGCGGTCATCGGAGTTTATAAAGTCGTTCTTTCGACTGGCAAGCAGTGTTTTATCAAGGTCACTTGGTGCAAGAATCAGACCGGTGGTCAGGGGATGACCATAAACTTCGGCGATGACCCTTCAACGTGTTTCAAGCTCAACACCAATTTGAGGTTCTTCAGGAAGAAGAAAGGCAACAAAGTGATCGAATCCGATCATTTGAAGATCGAAGTCTTTTGGGATCTTTCCACCGCTAAGTACAATACCGGACCGGAACCAGTCGACGGGTTCTACGTTTTAGTCATGGTTGATTCGGAGATAGGCCTTGTTTTAGGCGACACCGCGGAAGAAGCAGTTAACAAGAAGCTCAAAAATACAACCCCGGTTGCTAAAGCTGCCCTCATTTCCAGGCAAGAACATTGTTCGGGCAGTACTCTTTATTCCACCAAGGCTCAATTCTGTGAAACGGGAATTGTACATGACATTCTAATCAGATGCAGCGGAGAACATGAAGGCCTGAAGCACCCGGTTTTATCGGTCAGTATTGATACCAAAACGGTGATAAAAGTGAAGCGGCTGCAATGGAATTTTAGAGGAAACCAGACAATATTTATTGATGGTTTGTTGGTTGATCTGATGTGGGATGCGTACGATTGGTTCTTCAAACCTGTTACTGGTTCGGCTACGTTCTTGTTTAGAACAAGAAGTGGTTTGGATAGCAGGCTTTGGTTAGAAGAGAAGATGGTGAAGAAAGACCAAAACAGACTCGATTTCTCCTTGTTGATTTGTGCCTGTAAGAACACATAATCAAATTCATCAACTTGTTCATGTTGGGTTTATTTTGTTTTAGTGTTTTTCCCCAGTTTTTTGGTCCAAATTTACTTCAATTCTTTGAACATGTGAAAGAAGAACATAACTTACTCTGCAGAAAATTTTAGTTTCTGAGAGAGTTGCAGAATGTGAACTGTAGATTTTTTTTTTTGGATTTTCTTTGGTTTCTCTTTTAATAAAAAATTGGGAAATTTATTACAGGAAAATATCATGCTAACAATGACATTATTGTGAGGTTTAAATAATTGAAAAGGTTGTAAACTGTGAAAGGAAAGACATCTCAAATAGAAGGGTATGAATGAAGATTTTGCCGAAAAGTATTTGGATAATTGAAAGATATCAAGGAAGATTTGTAGCTTTTGCCTTTAAAAGGACAAAATAAAGTGGGGGAATCTCCTGCAAATGTTCAGAAACAATTTGACCATAATATTTCCTTTTTTTAGGCATATAGCATGCGTTTGTTACATTCATAATGAAGATTTATAGTGATCATAATTCTGGCTAAAACGACTAAGAACATGAGCATGGGTTGTTTGAGCAAAGTACAAGCATGAACTGGGCATGCTTGAGACCTTCTTTCATAAAAGGATAAGCAGTCCATGTCTTAGGACCCCCTCCCCTTTCTTTAGAAAGAACAATGGTCCCCTTGGTCCTTTGGGAATTAAAATTTTGGTCCACAAAGCAAGAAGGAAAAGTTTCTCAAGGGCACTTGGGTTGCACTGCAGTGAGATGCCACTAAAATTGCAGGCATTTAAGTACCCCCATAGTCAGGCTCTACTTCATTGGACCATCAGGAAACCAATTAGGATAGCACAGGTATAAATATATGTATACATCTTTGGCTAAAGAGTACACATTAATTCTAATGTTCCACTCCTTCCTTTGTACATGTGAAATTTAAATGAAGACAACTAAGAAATGGTGATAAATTTGAACGTGTGATGCTAAAAGTAATAGCAGTTGATGTGATGTGTGTTCACCGGCCTACTTGTTCCCATTTATTTGTCCCTTGTTGATGAAAACGGGTAAAGAAAACGAAAGAACACGAGAATTTTACGAGGTTCGGCAATGTGCTTACGTCCTCGGTGCCTAGGCGGCGCTAGAAGTTTTATTCAATGATCGTTTTAGGTCTAGGTTACATCTCTATTTATAATAGAAAACCCTGGTACATAATTACAAAATCAACCCTGTACCGTACCACGGGGGCTGCGCCCCCACACCCCCAACCCACATAATTCGTAACCCCACAACGAGACTTTTTATGAGCCATACATAACAAATCTCCACCTTGGCGAATATCCTGCCCCTTGGAAACTTCAATGTGGGTTGGGTTACCTTGCTTCTTTAACAACTCGAAACATTCAACAAGTCCAAGCAATGCTTGAACTTGTCTGTCGTAACTGGCTTGGTGAACATATCAGCGGCATTCTCATCAGTATGTACCTTCTGAAACAAAACCTCTCCAGATGCAACCAACTCTCTGATCTTGTGGAACCTTACATCAATATGTTTAGTTCTAGCACGATACACCTGATTCTTAGCCAAGTGAATAGCACTTTGATTATCACAAAGCAACTGAACTCCACCTTGTTGAACACCCAACTCCTTCACTAAACCAGTAAGCCATAAAGCTTCTTTTGCAGCTTCAGCCGCTGCCATGTATTCAGCTTCAGTTGTAGATAGTGCCACGACAGATTGAACAGTAGACTTCCAGCAAATAGGCCCTCCACCAAGAAACACATACCCTGTCGTAGATCTTCTATTATCCAAGTCACCTGCATAATCTGAATCCACATATCCTACAACCAAAGGGTTATCCCGCTGACTCCAAAAAACAATTCCATGTCCCACAGTACCCTTTAAGTACCGAAAGATCCACTTGACTGCTTCCCAATGTTGCTTACCAGGTTTAGACATGTACTTACAAACTTGACTAACAGCATGAGCTAAATCAGGACGAGTACATACCATCGCATACATCAAGCAGCCAACAGCATTAGAATACGGAACCTTTGCCATATCTTCAGCTTCCTTATCTGTCTTGGGGCACTGTTCTGATGAGAGCTTAAAGTGATTCGCCAATGGAGTGCTAACTGGTTTTGCGCTGCTCATCGCAAACCTTTCTAGTATTTTCTCAACATAACCCCGTTGAGATAGCCGCAGTTTCCTTGAGTCTCTGTCCCTGCAAATTTCCATTCCAAGAATTTTCTTTGCAGCACCTAAATCTTTCATATCAAATTCCTGACTCAATAAAGTTTTCAAACCGATAACATCATCCATGTTCTTCGCAGCAATCAACATATCATCAACATACAGTAATAGAAAAATAAAAGAACCATCATCAAGGCTCTTAACATAGACACAACAATCATACTCACATCGGTTGTAGCCAATCTTGATCATATAGGAGTCAAACCGTTTATACCACTGTCTCGGAGACTGTTTTAACCCGTACAAAGATTTCTTCAATCTGCAAACTAATGTTCGTTTCCAGGTTGAGTGAAACCTTCAGGTTGCCGCATGTAGATCTGCTCCTCTAAATCACCATGCAAAAAAGAAGTTTTAACATCCATCTGCTCTAAATGCAAATCCCAACTAGCCACCAATGCAAGTACTGCTCGGATTGAAGTGTGCCTGACCACAGGAGAAAAGATTTCATCATAATCAACTCCTTTCTGCTGTGAAAAACCCTTCGCTACCAAACGAGCCTTGAACTTCTCCCCCTCTTTTTCGTTACTGCTGGTTTCTTCTTATACACCCATTTGCAACCAATCGGCTTCTTACCCTCAGGAAGGGGAACTAACTCCCATGTGCGATTGTGATTCAAAGACTCCATCTCCTCAACCATGGCTGCCATCCACTTGTCGTTTTCCTGACTAGTAACGGCATCATGAAAAGTAACTGGATCATCACTGCTAACAGTAAGTGCAAAAGATACCAAGTCTTCAAAACCCAATCTGTTCGGAGGCTTTATATTCGTCCGTCTCACCCTGTCTCTGGCGAGACTATAATCCTGCAAATCATCCGTAGTGGAACCACCAGAAGTCGGTTGAGAAGTTTCTGGTTTCTCAACTGGAAACTGCTCGAAATCTACCACTGTCGTGTCTTGCTTCTGCTGCAACATAGACTGTTCATCAAAAACGACATCTCTACTAATCACAACTTTCTTCGCAACTGGATCCCAGAACTTGAATCCTTTGACACCTTTCTTGTAACCCAGAAAAATACACTCCTTCGATTTTGCATCAAGTTTGGATCTCTCATCAGCAGGTACATGCACATAAGCAGAACAACCAAAAATCCGTAAGTTATCAAAACTAACATCATGACCAGTCCATACCTCTTCTGCAACTTTCCCAGCCAGCGATGCCCTTGGCGATCTGTTGATAAGGTAACACGCCATGTTAACAGCCTCAGCCCAGAAGTGTTTGGGAAGCCCCGCATTCAACCGTAAACATCTGGCTCTTTCATTCAACAACCTGTTCATTCGTTCCGCAACACCATTCTGTTGTGGTGTCTTGCGCACTGTAAAATGCCTCTGAATCCCATGCTCCTTACAGAATTGTAGGAACTGTGAATCTGTGTACTCCGTACCATTGTCAGACCGCAAACACTTGATTTTTCGTCCTGTTTGGTTTTCTACCTCAGCTTTCCACAGCTTGAACTTCTCAAAACTTCAGATTTCTGTTTCAAAAATACACCCAAACTTTCCGTGAAAAATCATCAATAAAAGTAACATAGTACCTAGATCCACCCAAAGACGATGTCGTGGAAGGCCCCCATACATCAGAATGCACATAATCAAGAATCCCTTGAGTTGTGTGCTTCGCAGTCTTGAAACGGACTTTAGTCTGTTTACCAAGAACACAATACTTGCAAAAGTCGAGCTTACAGCTTTTGACACCATGCAACAAGTTTCTCTTGTGTAATTCTGCCATACCACGTTCACTAAGATGAGCAAGGCGCATATGCCACAATTTTGCCGTATCATCACAGGACTCAACAGAGTGAACTCCACCTGCAACGGTACTCCCTAACAATCTGTAGATATTCCCTGCAGTCATCTTGCCTTTCATCACAGTCAATGCTCCTTTAACAATCCGAATGGTTTCCCTATCCTCGTCAGCCTTAGGGATAAAACCATTCTTGTGCAAAGTGCCCAAGGAAATCAAATTCTTCTTCAAGTCTGGGATATGTCGAACACCACTCAACGTCCGAACGGAGCCATCGTGCATCTTAATTCTGACATCACCAATACCAACAATATTGCAACATCGATCATCACCCAAATAAACCGAACCAGAATTAACCGGCCTGTATGTCGAAAACCATTCCCTATTTGGCGTGATGTGATAAGAACATCCAGAATCAAGAATCCAAGCATCCGTCAATTGTGTCGTTGAAATAGAAAGCATATCACCCTTACTGCAATCAGAAGTATCATCCTCGACCACGTTCACAGACTTGGATGAGCCATCACGCTTCTCATCGGTATGCTTTTTCAACTTCGGACAGTCTCGCTTCATATGTCCCGCCTCCTTGCACTTGTAACAGTGAATCGTCTTCTTATCCCTGGATTTGGATCTGGAATTCCGCTTCCCGGACCCTGCCTTCTCTGGCTTCCGTCCACGATCTCGATTACCCTTGACATAAGCTATCGGCTTGAGAGCTTTCCCCTGCATTCTGCTTCCGCTGGTTGTGAGCCAACAAGGCTGCAGTAATCTCCTCAACATTGATAGTCTCTTTCCCATATGTAAGAGTAGTCACCATGTGTTCGTAAGAGGAAGGCAACGAACACAACAGAATCATCGCTCTGTCTTCATCCTCAATTTTCACATCAAGCCGAGCCAGATCAGAAACGATTTGATTGAAGACATTCACGTGTTGCGCCAAATCGTGATCGTCCTGCATCTTCAGCCCATACAACCGCTGCTTCAGATACAGTTTTGTCGTTAAGGATTTGGACATAAACTGACTTTCCAACTTCCTCCAAATTTCGTCTGGAGACGATAGATGCATGACGTGATACATGACCTCGTCCGCCAAGCATAATCGTATGGTTCCTGCCGCTCGCTGCTGCAATTCTTCCCAATCTTCCTCATCCATCGACGCCGGCTTTGTAGGTCGCAAAGCCTTCAAGATCCCTTGCTGCGCCAATAGATCCTTCACCCTCGTTTGCCATAATCCGAAGTTACCCTGACCATCGAATTTCGCGACTTCGAATTTTGCTCCTGACATCTGATACCAATTGTTGACGAAAACGGGTAAAGAAAACGAAAGAACACGAGAATTTTACGAGGTTCGGCAATGTGCTTACGTCCTCGGTGCCTAGGCGGCGCTAGAAGTTTTATTCAATGATCGTTTTAGGTCTAGGTTACATCTCTATTTATAATAGAAAACCCTGGTACATAATTACAAAATCAACCCTGTACCGTACCACGGGGGCTGCGCCCCCACACCCCCAACCCACATAATTCGTAACCCCACAACGAGACTTTTTATGAGCCATACATAACATCCCTAAATGTGCTTTAGAATTTCATTATTTTACAAATCTTTAGTGCCGACATTAATGTTGTGTATTACGAACTCAGAAATTAGACAGAAAAAGCAAAACCTGGTAACTTATCTGTTGTAAGGACATTAATTTTATCCTTAATCTCAAAGGATAAATGGCGAGGAAAGCAGACAAACTAGAATTGTAGTGGTGGCCAACACCATGAATCAATGTCCCAAGGTAAAGACAAACTTGCTTTATGGTACATGAAAAGAGAATGTTGGAGGGGGAGGTTTTCCAACAAAAAATAAGTGAAAACATATGTCAATTATTGGGGTGGTGCTTGACTATTGGACCCTAAAAGTTTTTTTCCCATTTATTTTTGAAATTCGGGCTCTTTTTGAAATTGGATTGGGAGGTTGGTTTTAGTTATGATGTTCGGAAATTGAATATGATGGCGCATTCCGGGTTCTACCTTGTGGCCGTGTCAGCTTCTTCATGTGAATTTTACAGCTGTGGAGTGGAAATAGTTTTTTTTTTTATAGCTGGAAAGTGTTTCGTATAGCCTGTAAAGATCAATTCAACGACGTATATGCTTCAGCAGTTTACCTCTCATTTTTCTAACCATCATATTTATATTTAGTCTTTAGGGTAAACTACTCTAGATTGCACTACACTCTAGGGTTTATATCGTTTTTATCATTGGATTTTGAAACGTCTCAATTTTAACATTGAACTTTGGTTTTGACTACGGTATAAAACACTAGGTTTTTAAATCAGTGATGACCTCAACGTTTTCTTTCCTGTGAACTTTTGTTTGTGTATTACTTTTATCATTTAATTTTAACGTGTTTCATTTTTTAGACATTAAACATTAGTTTTTGTATCATTTTGGTTTATGTAGAAATTTGTTAACTATTCTGACCGTCATCATTAATCAAGCGTTGTCGGTCACCACCCACCATTTGCAATAAGATCATTACCAAAATATCGGCATTTCACTTCTCATTCTTTTTCTCTACTTGTTTTTTTTATAAAACCACTCGAGATCTATAAAAATCCATCTAAAAATTCAACATTCTAATACTATAGTATCTTTTGATGATTGTTCGATGACACTTATTTTAAGATATGTTATCCGTTTTCTTGAAAGAATACTTCTCATCATACAGATTTTTGTACAAACACTTCAAATTCAAGAGAACTTTAAACCCCAAAATTAATACCTTTTTATATTTAATCACGTGAGTTTTAAATAGGTTTCAAGAAAATCAAAACTAACAAAATGATAAAGGATGATGTGATGAATTTATCGGTATTTAAGATATCATAAAATATATCAGAGTGACAGTTATCGACAAATGCTAAAAAATTTCTTTGATGAAGAGTACGATATAAAATATAAAATAATATTTTTTTAACATTCACGTCGCATCAAACTGTCATGTCCTCTAACTATTGAAGTCAAAGTTTGATGCTAAAATTAATATAAACCTTAAAGTTCAGTGACATTTGGAATAATTTACCATTAATTATCAATATTTCCATTTCAACTTTGGTATGACTATGGATCTGCTTTATTTTGAAAGCCTTATCAAAGTGACTCTCTTTAATGTACTCTTCTTCCCTTTTCATCATTCAAAACTAAGCTTTATGTCAAAAGGCAATGGATGCGTATGCTCATTTTTTTTTTTTTTTTGCTTTTGTTCAATTATTTTCCCATGACATAGTAAAGTGTGCATCCATTGCCTAGACTCTAGAATTGAATTGTTAAGTGTGCAGTTCGAAATTTCGTTAATAATCATCTTCATTCAGACAAAGATTATGTTAATAAAAACCACTTGGCTGAGATTAAATGTTCATCTATTCGTGAATCATATTTCTCATTGCAGTGACCATGTAATTGTTAAGATTCAAGGTTAGCATTCATAAGGAATCATTTCATATAGATACCCAAACTAGGTGCACTTTCTGTATGTGTATGCGCATGGAGATAGGACAAGAAACATACAAGCAATCACGTACAAAATAAGTATCTAACAACCATGAGGAAGAGATCCAAAAAAAAGTCTTTGTTCTGGTTGTTTCGAGCTCTAGAGCTGCTCAAATCATCCATGAATTCATCTGAACAATGATGGAAAATAAAAGGAGCAAGAACTAATACCAGTGTCAAGTGATCCGGTAACTGAAAGGACCTTATCTTCTGCAAAAACACCATTAAATCAATCAAAAAATTGTAAGATTGAGAAAGAAAATAATAAAGATCAAATAGAAACTAGGCCTTAGGGAGCAGGGGGACTTACTGCACTCTTGTGCATGACAAATGCACTTCAACCCAACACCACAGCTGCCATTAGGCTTTTTACATTCATTGCAGATATCCGGTACATGGTCGGGAATGTCGAACGAAATCCTCGTCCCCAACTCAACTCCTTCAAAGTCTTCCTCGTTCAAAGTCCTTTTATAAACCCTCTTGTAACTTGTGCAACTCAAATCTTTGGGATGAAAATCAGGGCCAAGCTTTCCAATATCTTTGATTACTAGACATGAATAAGGCACTTCAGAAGCAGCTCTACACATGTGTAACCGAGTGCAGTTGCGGATAAACGATGCAGCGGGATGACTTGTGCGTGAGCAGTTGAAGAGAAGAAGTGAGTTGGGGTGAGGAGGAGAAGGGAAACCAGCTGAAAGGAGTGATGGGGACACAAACTGTGATGGAGGAGAACAACTAGTGTGAGACACTGTTAGTGTCTTACTTGTGTAATCAATAGAAGAGATGGGGAAAAGACCCAGAGAGGTTCTGAAGTATAGCTTCTGAGATTTGCATCTGATCATGCGGTTCAAAGGGAAGGGCACTGTGGAATTTTGAGCCAAGAAAGGCCTTTGAAGCTGAATGTTACCACAGTGGAGCGTGGGAGTGTGTAGGGCATTAGAGGTGATAAAAAGGAGAAAATATAGAAACTTGAGTCTGTTGAATGTTAGCAGGATCTTTTCCATTGTTCCTTCGACTCTTTCAGATGATATGAATGAAATTGCAGGGATGGTGGGTTTGATGGCAAGGGGGAGATAAGAAGGTTAAAGAAACAGAGAATCTTTTCGTTTTTCAATGCATCTTTTTTGCGGTGGAATATTGTTTTTCTTCTTCAAATATCCTCTTGTAGCTTTGTCCTTCACAAAATCTCAATTTTGATCTTGGTTGCTAACTTTCTTCATGTATATTTGTAGGTCATCAAGTTCATGGCCTTTAGTAGCAAGTCATCATTGATATACTGTATTTACATGTAGAGTTCAGAGTCTGTTGATGAAATTTGATGGGTCTTTTGTGGAATGATTTTGGCAGACAGGAATATTAGAAGGGACCATCTTGGTTAAGCCTAATTAACCTATTCCAAGCTCATTAATGTGTGATAACAAAGTCAAAAAAAGTAGTTTATCATCTTCTACGGTTTTCTGACATATATATTAAAATAAATCCACTTATATTAATATAGAACTAAATGAGTTCACATACATTTACAAGTGTTTTCACTATTGATATTTTAATATCTAATTATATAAAAACTAAAATCACCTAATTAAACGACTTAAACAGGCTAAAATCACCAATTGAACTCATAATTTTTGGTTCTTGGAATAAGCTTAACATTTGGTGGGTGTCGAATCCAACAAATAATAATATTTGCTTTTGAAAATATAAAATTGTAATAGCGAGAAGCAAGGTCGAATTCACAGGGATTGGATAGATTTATTTTAATGAAAATTAAAGCAAAGAAAAGGGATTTTAAAATTGAGAAAAGTAAAAATAAGAAACATATCTAACTAACTAAAAATTGAGAGAAATTAATATTAAGCAAATATCCAACTAAATGTATAATTTCATAATTGGTTCAGAAAATTGATCATAGATGCAATGATAAAATCTTCTACTTTTCACTAAATTGGTTATGGTTATTGAGAAGCTCTAACAACCTGTCTCTCCTTAGTTTCTCGATAATTAAGAGAAGCTCTTTGATTATTTCCCTAGTTAATGAACAACCCTAGACAAGCTCTTAAGATTTAATCCACCAACAGCATTAATCACTAGAGGGACCACCAATTCTAGCCAACGAATACACAAGCTCGATTCATTTAGACTAGGTTATATACCTTCATAACATAATCATAATCAACCATGTTACTTTACCACTAATATTAGAACGTTTAAACAATTACGAATTTAAAGTTCTAAATGGCAATTTATCAACTTGATAATTGAACAACGGATCCTTTGCACAATCAATCAAGACAATAATTCTTAATAAAAACAGAAGATATATAAATAGCAAAGAAGTAAAAGAACAATGAAAATTATTTAGATCTCACAATCCTTGAAGAACCAAGGCTTCAATTATCCTCCATTTGGAACAAAAGTATTTAGCTACTCATAATTAAAAGAAAACCAAAAGAAAATAAAGAAAACTTAATGTAAAACTTGATGTAAAACTAATGGCCTTAGCTCCCCTTTTATAAGGATTTTCCTATTATAGATAAAGAAGTTTCCCTTAAAGAAAATCCCACAGAAATAGGAGTTTTAAATGCCCTCATCTTTTTCTAAAGATAAGAATAATTCAAAATAGTCTTACAACCGTCATTAAACTCTTTTTGCCTTGTAAATTTGTAACCCTAATTTAGGGTTGTACGGGCTCATAAGGCGCGTCCACGCCTTAACTAAAGACTTCTTCTGCGGTAGTTCAGGATGAATAAGCCGTGCCCACACCTTACGCGAAAACCTCTTCTAGTCTTGCTAGCTTCTTGAATTCTGATTTTTCCTCCTTAATTCGGGGATTTTGTGAAGATCATGCTAATCATAAGATTTTGAACTTGTTTTATCCAAATCTTCAACCTAATCCACAAAATATGAAATATAATCAAAATCCATAATTTAATCAATTTTAGTTATTCAAATATGAGGAAAATATCATAGAATATATGTATAATATGCATCTTATCAAATTCCCCCACACTTAAACCAATGCTTGTCCTCAAGCATACAATAGTTCAAATTCATAACTCTTCTCAACATCAATCCTTCTTCTTCCTTTGTTCATCCTTCCACAATCAAAATTGTCATGCCTTAAAGACTCAAATCTAGACATAAGTAAGGAACGAGCAATTCATAGAAGAAATTCTCATAAACCAACACACATGAATAATCACTCCATCAATCTTTTCGAAATCAAAATGCAGTGAGATCTAATACCCTCACATTGGATTCACTCAATACGCTTGAAGTGTTTAAGGGTGTCAACAAACTCTCAAGCCAAAACATAGAAAATTTTTACCATAGGCTTGCTAACCTATCACATCCCCACCACTAGTCAATGAATTGAATGCATAAAAACCTAAGGGTCTTAAACAGGGTGTAATGGGGCTTAAGTGAGGTTTGATAAGAGAGGAATTTGAGATGTTTTATTGAAGGGGTCATACAAACTTATCCACATGGAACTCAACCTTCAAATGTTCTCTTCAAGCCATATAACTTTTTTTTTCATTGCACAATCTCTCTTTCTTTATTTCCTTTGCACAATTTTTGCTTCTCTTTTTCCTTTTTTTTCTTTTTTTTTTTGAAAGATATTGCAACTCGAATCACTATATTCCAATATCTTCTGATCTTCTTAAGATAATTTGAATTTTCATGTGAAGAATCTCATACAATCCTCTAATTCAAGGTTCAAAAGAGGAGAAATTAACAAAAAGAATTTGATGTTTGCTTGTACCATGGTTAATTTCAAACAAAAAGGCTCAGGCTCAAAATTGGCTTTCTAAGGATGATAATTAGGGTAGGCTCTTTACGAAAGCTAAAAGTGGTTTCACCTAAATGCCCTTATCGTTTTTGATGCATCTAATTCTAAAATGTGGTCTTCGACATGTATATCAAAGCAAGTTCTAGAAAAATTAACTATGTATGGCAATCACTCAATCAAGAAATGGAGCATGCTGAAAGTGAGTGCTCATTGGCCCAAAAACTCGCAAAAAAGGTAAACATGTATTATCTCCCACACATTTTCATTCAATCAGTCATCAAGAGTAATCAACCAGTGTGTAGCAAATAAGAATTCAACTACTCAAACTAATCCCCTATTATGCTTCAACTTAATTCGATAATTCACAACAATCCAAATCATGTAAGGATAAGCATCGAAAGAATCTGGAATTTTGAAGAGAAAAATCACAAAAAAAGAACTAAAGCATACTTGTTTTTAAAAAAAAAAATTGAAGCAACATTATGTTCAGAGAAAAACTATGTATGAAATACTCTCCCCCATACTTAATCCATACATTGTCCTCAATGTATCAAAAGTAGATGCTCAAAAACCATAAAATAATAAGAGTAGAAAACTCTCCTGAAAATGTTGAACATCAACCATAATATATGTCACGAGCTGGGGGTGAAGGTGATGTGGTCGGCTAGGCTGATTCTCGGATTGAGCGGAGACGTGGGTCGGGTGGAGCGGGAAGGAAGGCTGGTGGCGCACATTCTTCTGATGAAGCAGAGAAAATAAAGAAAAAAAGGCACATTTATATTTTAAAAAAATCTTTGAATCTTGTTTCCTGAACCATAAGTAGTATTGAGTTTAGACGTGGACACGTCTTATACAAAAAGAACTTCTGAATAGTGAGAGACTTTAGGAATAATTATGCTTTTGTAAGGCGTGCCCACGGGTTACAAAAATTCATCTTCTAACCTAAAGAGTAAAACAAGATTAATTGTACTCCAATAAGTCAAGGAAAAAAAATAAAAATAAAAATAAAAACAACGAAAATAGAATTTGAAAAAGAAAAAATTAGGTTGCCTCCCAAGAGCGCCTTTCTTTAACGTCTTTGGCTAGACGTTGTAGCTTCTCAATCATCCTAAGTTGGGTACTCCAAAATGGTTTGACCAACAGTATGCGCCAGAGAACCTTCATAAAAAGGTTTCAAACGATGATCGTTGACGTTAAACATTTGACTTGTATCCAAACTTTGTGTTTCAACAATAGAGAAATTTTTTCTCCACCCAATAGCTTCCTTGTACTCTCTAAGCATTCGAATCAACTTTTCTTCTTCTAAGCGAGAGAGTTTGTTGGGAATGATCACTGGAATAGTTTCCTCTTCTCCTAAATATACATGCTTCAGATGATTTGGCAATGACTTCGTTTCCAATTTTGGTGCCTGCACAAGAGAATGAAGAAGCTTGGTGTTAGAAAGAGGTGACTCAATATAAAGATACATCATACCTCATGGGTTTGAGTGATTCTAGTTCTTGGATTGTATCTTTCAAATCAAGATCCAACACAGACTTTTTCATGATTCCCTGCAATCTTTCAGAAGTGAAATTCATGTTGAGTGTATATTTCAACTTGTCATATTCATTTTTATTAAACATTTCATGTGCTAAAGGGTCAATAACATCCATGACAAAAACAGAGACATCTCATGGCATCATAAATATTGAATTTAATAACTTCACCATCAAATTACATGGTAAGTGTACCATCATCTACATCAATTTTTTTGTCATAGTTGTTTTCAAAAATGGTCTTCTTAACAAAATTGATGTTGACTTAGAATAATCATCTTCTTGCATATCAAGTACATAAAAATCTGCAGGAAAACCCAATTCATTAACTTGCACTAAAACATCCTCTAAAACTCCCTCGAGATATACATTAGATCTATCAGCAAGTTGAAGAATCACTCATGTTTCTTTCAAAGGACCAACATTCAGAGATGAGTAAATAGAAAGAGGCATGATATTTATTGAGGCTCCTAGATCCAACATTGCTCTCTCAATCCTAACATTACCGAGTTTACAAGGTATAGTAAACATACCTGGGTCTTTGCACTTGGGGGGTAGTTTTTTCTGGAGGACAGCTGAAACACTCTCCCCCATACTTACCTTTTCATTACCCTTGAGCTTTCTCTTGTTGGTGCACAATTCTTTAAGAACTTTAGCATATCGAGGTACTTGTTTAATTGCATCAAGTAAAGGAATATTTACCTCGATCTTGCGAAACGTCTCAATAATTTCTTTATCTTCTGCTTCTTTCTTGGATTTAGCGAATCTAGAGGGAAAATGAGGTTCTATGACAAATTTCTTTTATTTTTCGCTTTTGAGTCCTTTAGGTTGGTCTTTCTGAGTTTGAGGAGCAACTTCCTTTTCA